ATGGAAACATACCAGTAAAAAATGTATCTCCTTGAATGCTCCAATAGAAACTTTGTCCCTATATATTGATAATACAAATATAAGGAGTTTGGTAAATGCTGGCATTGTATATATTGGAGACTTATTTGACGGTGATTTTTAGACCATTCACTATTCTATGTACAAATCATGGAATTTCCATCAAAGAATACTTACTTTAAATTTAAAAACTTTTAAATTTAAAAAAACTTATTTTAAATAATAGGGAAATTAAGAGAGGTAATAGCTGGATATACTCTATGACCCAGATAATAGCTCCAATTTGTCTTCTAAGATTAGAGAACTATTGTATACAAGCAAACCGGGTAAAAAGCTTTGTGGGGTTATGAAACGGGTAAGAGAGCTTAGCACAGAATTTGTATCCAATAAATGGGTTACCGCTTTAAATATGACAAAAAAAACTATTCATAGTATTTTGTTGTTTGAAAATTATCTCAAAATTTTACACAGATTGTATCTGACACTAGACATGTTAAGTAAGTTTCAACCCAACATTAATGATCTTTGTTGGAGATGCGAGAGGGAAACTGGAACTATATGGCAAATATGGTGGGAATGTACCTGCCTATTACTTTTGAAGGTCAAGTTAGAAAATGAACATAAAAGTTTAACACAGTCCCATATTGAACTAACCTCCCAACTTTTTTTGTTCCATTTGGATTTCCACAAATTGAAAGAAGATTTAAAAATGCTAATTGTGCATTTATTAATGGCCATCAAAGTCTGTTTAGCGAGAAAATGGAGGACTGAGGCGATCCATAAGTGGACTGAAATTGCTCCACAGATTAACTAACAGAGATTCATGGAGAAGGCTGTATATGTTAATCTTCAGAATTTGGGCTTATATAATGATATATGGAGACTCTGGCCTCTGGTTACAGACTTGCCTGAGGCTCCTTCCAACTAACGCCCCCACTCTCACGACAAGACAGGTATGAATGGTTGTGTAAATGGAGATTGATTTTCTACGTCAGCGTATCTGTAATAGATACTTTTAATAGAATTGCACTTTAACACTTTATTAGATTTAAAATAAGTTTTGGATAATGGAAAGGGAAAGGAAACTAAAGGGAAGAGGAAAAAGGGGGGAATAAGGAAGGAGGGAGTGAAAAAGAACAAAGATTGCTGCAAATAAAACAGTCATTTTAATTTTCCTACATAGTTACTTAGTTACATAGTTACATAGCTGAAAAGAGACTTGTGTCCATCAAGTTCAGCCTTTCTCACATTTGTTTTTTGCTGTTGATCCAAAAGAAAGCCAAAAAAAAAACAGTTTGAAGCACTTCCAATTTTGCAACAAGCTAGGGAAAAAAATCCTTCTTGACCCCAGAATGGCAGTCAGATTTATCCTTTGATCAAGCAGTTATTACCCTACATTGAAAGATTATATCCTTGAATATTCTGTTTTTGCAAGTATGCATCTAGTAGCCGTTTGAACATCTGTATGGGCTCTGATAAAACCACTTCTTCAGGCAGAGAATTCCACATCCTTATTGTTCTTACAGTAAAAAAACCTTTCCTTTGCCTTAGACGAAATCTTCTTTCTTCCAGTCTAAACGCATGACTTCGTGTCCTATGTAAAGTCCGGTTTGTGAATAGATTTCCACACAATGGTTTGTATTGACACGAATATATTTGAATAATGTTATCATATCCCCTCTCAGACGATGTTTTTCTAAACTAAATAGGTTTAAATTTGTTAACCTTTCTTTATAGCTGATATGTTCCATTCCTTTTATTAATTTTGTAGCCCGCCTCTGCACTTTTTCTAGTGCCATAATATCCTTCTTTAGAACAGGTGCCCAAAATTACATAGCATATTCAATATGTGGTCTTACCAGTGATTTATAAAGAGGCAAAATGATATTCTCGTCCCGAGAATGAATGCCCCTTTTCATGCATGACAATACCTTACTGGCCTTGGCCACTGCTGATTGACATTGCACATTGTTGCATAGTTTGTTGTCTATAACAATTCCAAAGTCCTTTTCGTGTGTGGTTATCCCTAATTCGCTTCCATTAAGGGTATATGTTGCTTGTGTATTCTTTTCGCTGAAGTGCATAACTTTGCATTTTTCAACATTAAATTTCATCTGCCATTTGAGTGCCCAGTCCCCCAGTCTATCTAAATCCCTCTGCAGCAAAGTAATATCTTGCTCACATTGTATTATTTTACAGAGTTTTGTGTCATCTGCAAAAACTGAAACATGACTTTCAATGCTTTCTTCAAGATCATTTATAAACATGTTAAATAGAAGTGGTCCCAGAACATACCCCTGAGGGACACCACTTGCCACCTCTGTCCAGCTTGAAAATTTACCATTAATGACAACTCTTTGTACTCTATTTTTAAGCCAATGTTCTACCCAAGAACAAGCATTTTCATCTAGACCGATTTCCTTGAGTTTGAACACTAATCTATTGTGTGGGACTGTATCAAATGCCTTGGCAAAATCCAAATAGATCCTATCCACTGCAACACCCTGATCTATACTTACTTCTTCGTAGAACGCAATCAAGTTAGTTTGACATGACCTGTGCTCAGGGCCGGTGCAAGGATTTTTGCCGCCCTAGGCAAATTAAAGATTTGCCGCCTCCCCCCTCCCCCCAGTGACATTGCAATGCCCCACCCATATGATCTGCCATATGAACTAACGCCAGTGCTGCACACAGTGTGTGTTTACATTAAAAAGCCTGCAGGGACAAACTATATTAAGCTGCAGTGGTTCTGGGGACTATAGTGTCCATTTTATGTGAGGTAAATTAGAGATTAGTGTCACTAATAATATACTAGATTGCCTACTTACAATCAGATGAGGATGGTGATGGGCTCTGGCTGCAGTCTGGCTCCACTGGTCTGGTGTAGAACAGGATCTCTGGAGGCTATTTGTAACTGTGGTCACAAAATTCAATGTTCAGGGAGAACGGGAAGCAGCTCCATTTTTTGGGGCCTGTTACATAGCTCAAGGTCTGGGCCCCAGGGCCTGACGGTGAGTATGCCCATAAGGCCCACCCATAAGTCAACCTACATGTTCCACCCATGAGTTCGCTCACAGGGAGTGGAGTGTGTAGGGGATGTGTTATGTGTTACTGTAGAGCAGGGGTTCTCAACGTTAGTCCTCAGGACCCCCTACCAGTCCAGGGTTTAGGGATTACCTGGGTGTGTCTAGGTGTTTAGAAAAAAAACACCTTAGAGTCTAAGGTGTTTTTTTCCCTTTTTCTAAACACCTGAGACACACCCAGGTAATCCCCAAATCCTGGACTGGTAGGGGGTCCTGAGGACTGGGTTGAGAACCCCTGCTATTGAGGATCTAACGTGTGTGCTTATGGAATGTAGTGTATAGGGATACCAGTTTGTGTAGGTGATGCAGTGTGTTTGTGTGAAGTGGAAGCAGTGTGTTTTTGTGTAAGGGATAGAAAGCAGTGAGTGTTTGTGTATAAGGGCGGTATTGTGTGTTTCTTGTTGTGTGTAAGGGATGCATTGTGTGAATCTGTGTTTGTATGCATAAGGGATGCAAAGTGTGTTTCTGTGTATGTAAGGGATGCAGTGTGTGTGTCTGTAAGGGGTGCGTTGAGTGTGTGTAAGAGATGCATTGTGTTTCTGTGTGTGTGTGTAAGAGAAGCAGTGTGTGTTTGCATGTGTGTGTAAGGGATGCATTGTGTGTGTGTATGTAAGGGATGCAGTGTGTGCGTCTGTAAGGGGTGCGTTGAGTGTGTGTAAGAGATGCATTGTGTTTCTGTTTGTGTGTAAGAGAAGCAGTGTGTGTGTGTTTGCATGTGTGTGTAAGGGATGCATTGTGTGTTTCTGTGTATGTAAGGGATGCAGTGTGTGTGTCTGTAAGGGGTGTGTTGAGTGTGTGTAAGAGATGCATTGTGTTTCTGTGTGTGTGTAAGAGAAGCAGTGTGTTTGCATGTTTGTGTAAGGGATGCATTGTGTGTTTCTGTGTATATGTGCAAAGGATGCATTGTCTTTATGTGTAAGGGCTGCATTATGTGTTTCTCTGTGTGTAAGGGAAGCATGTTGTGTTTCTATGTGTATAGGGATGCATTGTGTGTGTGTTTGTGTGTGTGTGCGCGCGTGGTGTGAAAGAGCTCCCTGTCCTGCCCCCTGTCCTATAGAGCTCTCCCTTCCATCCCTTAGAGATCTATTCTGCCCCTTAGTGGTCTCTCCTCTCCCCCACACCTCCCTTAGTGGTCTCCTTTTCTCCTCGACTTTCCATTAGTGGTCTCTCATCTCCCCCTTGGTGGTCTCTGCTCTCCTCTGTCCCCCATTCCATTAGTGGTCTCTCCTCTCCCCACCTCCCCAGTGGCTATCCTCCCCCCTCTGCTGCTCTCTCAACCTCCCTAGTGGTCCTCCACCACCCCACCCCAGTGGTTCTCCTCCCCATGTTCTCTCAACCCTCCCTGTGTTCTCATCTCCCACCCCCTGTGTCTCTCTCTCCCTATGTTCTCTCTTATTCCCTCCCTGTGTTCTCCACTTCTTCTCCTCCCTGTGTTCTCTCTTCTTCTCCCTGTCCTGTAATCTCTTTCTTTTCTCCCTCCCTGTAATCTTTCTTCTTCTCCCCTCCTGTAATTTCTTCTTTCTCCCCTTCCTAAATTCTCCCTCACTCCTGTACTTTTCTTTCTTTCTCCCTTCCTCCCTGTAATTCTTTTCTTTTCTCCCTGTAGTTTTCTTTCTCTCCCTTATAATCTTTCCACTTCGTATTATTCCTCTCCTGTACCTTTTCCCCTACTCCTGTAATCTTTTCCCCTACCTTCCCTTCCTGTATCTTTCCACTTCTGTACCTTTCTCCTCTCCTGTAAATCCTTTTCTCTACTTCTGCATCTTTCTCCTCTCAAAATTTTCCCCACCTCCTGTAATTTCTCCCTACCCCTGTAATCTTTCTCCACCCTTCTCCCTCGTAACCTTCTCCACTCCCCCCTCCCCACCTATAATCTTCTCCCCCCCCTCCCTCCCTGTAATCTTCTTCTCCCCACCACCCCTTCCCTGTAGCGTGGCCGAGCTCCTCTCCGGTCCGCGACCCGGCTGGACTGACTAAAAATGCACACTCAGTCACGGACCGGAGAGGAGCTCGGCCACGCTACAGGGAAGGGGAGGTGAGGAGAAGAAGATTACAGGGAGGGAGGGGGGGAGAAAATTATGAGGCAGTGCGGCAGCCATCTGAGCGCTCTCTATAGAGTGCTCAGGCGGCTGTGGCATTTAAAGGGCCAGCGATGTGGGCGGCTGCCTAGTTCGCCTTATAGGAAGCGCCGGCCCTGCCTGTGCTTCATAAAACCATGCTGATTTTTGCTGATAACCATGTTCTTCTCAAGGAATTCTTGAATATTATCCCTTAATAACCTTTCAAATTTTTTCCCAGCCACAGAAGTTAAGCTCACAGGTCTCTAATTTCCAGGCAAAGATTTTGAACCCTTTTTGAATATAGGAACCACATCTGCCTTCCTCCAATCCTTTGGAACACTTCATGAAAGAAAAGAATCTTGAAAGATTAAAAACAAAGGTTCACTTATTTCTACACTTAGTTCTTTAAGTACTCGTGCATGGATACCGTCAGGCCCTGGAGCTTTGTTTATATAAACTTTCTTTAGTTGCTGCAGCACCTTGTCTTGAGTTACCAATTACAATTATTCTGCAAGTTTTAAGCGGCAATCATTTGCACATCTAATGCCATGGGTTCTTCCTTAATATATACGGAGGAGAAATAGTTATTTGAAAGTCCTGCCTTTTCCTGGTCTTCATTAACTAACACCCCTGTTTCAGTTTTTAGTGTACCTACACTTTCATTTTTTTTTTTTTTTAGAATTTATGTACTTAAAAATGCTTTGGGGTTGGTTCTGCTCTCTTTAGCTATCATTTTTTCATTTTGAAGTTTAGCAAATCTAATCACCTTTTTGCACGCATTATTGGCTTCCTTATATCTTTTATAAGATGCATCTGATTTGTCCGATTTAAATGCTTTAAATGCTCTTCTCTTATTTTTAATCTCTTGTTTTACTTCTCTAATAAATCACATTGGTTTTAATTTGTTTCTTTTTTTATTTATTACCCAAGAATTTATTACAAGAATAAAAACTGACCAGCTCATAATTTCTAAATCTGAGTGTCAAAAAAATAAAAAATATGGTCGAAATTTGTTCGGCTAGAGCAAATTTGCAGCAATCGCTTGGATGCATTCGGTGTCTGGATAAAAATCAAGGCTTTCTCATTTGAATCCTATACAAAGTATAATATTCTGAAGAATCACAAAGCACTACTTTTACTAAAATTCTGGACTGAATGAATCCAGCAAGATGTACAATCGCAAATTATTGTTCACTTGCTTTTATGAAAGCAAGCAATAACTTAAAACAACATTAGCAGCCTGTTCGCTCAATGCCACACCTGCCACGTTGTAACGGACCGTTTCTCTCACTAGAGGATAAAAACCGTTTAGGCGATAATCCCCTTTTCCATAGACCAGCAGCTACTGCAAGCACCAAACTCCCGAACTGCAAACTGTACGAATTCACCAACTCCCGAACTGGAAACACACGAACACTGGAATCAGCCGAACAGGAAAAGCATACAATCCGCTTACACTCCTGGCAGTCAGCATACAATCCAATTCCCCCCAAAAACGAGACGACACATCGGTTTGAGGGTCAAGCAGCATCTCCCTGTACTGGTCACATACAGTCTCTTTTATTCCCAATCCACAAACATAGTACAGCCCACAGGGCGTTACAAAACAACCAATCAATCCGTACAATACACCCAGACACTCCCACACAAAATCCTCCCCTCTGCAGGTGATATGATTACTGAACACAATGGGTAATCTCATTATCACCGGCAGAGGAATACAGTTTTTACACAATATTTATAACTTCTAAAATATACATGTCACAAACATAAAACATACATTTTCATAATCAATCCATTCAGGGGAACAACATATTAAAAAATGGCACGAATCAGACCAGGGGTTCAAAAGTTAAGGGAAAGTCCTTTGTGACTAAATGAAGCATGGCTTTCTGGCCCAAACCAGTTTCAGAGTCTTCTATCCTGGAGAGTAATTCAATTATCTCCCAGGACAGACACAAGACTCCATTAAGCACATGGTTGCAAAAAGACACAAAACACTTTAAAATACATAAAGTCACCTTTTACCCATAAGACACAGACATTTCACATATCCCCAGATAGCTGGGATCTGAGCGCACATTATTAGATGAATGGCACTCAGATCACACAAATAAGCCTTTCTGCAGGGGAAATAAACGGTTTAACCTGCAGGGCCATAGTCCAAAGGGAGCAGGCGAGCAACCAGGCTTCTCCAGTTCACAGTAGCGAGGTTGGTTTCGCCACACACGTGTTCACTAAATATTTAAAATTAGCAACTTGGCAGCCATTGCTGCTCAGTTCATACAAAGCCCCTTTCAAAAAGGGGGCACATAGTCCCCCCTTCTCCAACTTGTGGCGTTATGTTCCCCCACCCCTACTCACTGACCACAGATTATTTTGTGGGATGGGGTCTCACTCTGTCAAGAGTTTTTGTAACTAGCACCGCCAACAGGCAAATAGTTTTGATTTTTTAAAAATCTGATTCCGGATTTGCATCCTCCAGACCTGAATATAAAAATGTTGGTGCTGATATCAGCTGTGTCGTTGCGCCCAATCCGAAATCTAGATTAAGTAGTGTGACCAATGTCTGGATTTTACAGTCCGAATGGCCACATACACAGTCAGATGATTTGGTAGGGGGCCATTCAGTCTTTAGTGGATAATCCTGTGTCATTTTTGCAATTGCTGCGGTTATAAACTTTTGGATGGGAAACCAAGTGCAGAGTTGTATCTGCACCATAACTTCTTCAATAATGCAAAATTGGTATGGTGCTAAGGCTGACCCTTTTGAGAATAAGGAGATAATCACGTATCATACAACGTGAGGTTGTTTGGACAAGTTGTAGGAAATTGAAAATGGGGAGGGAATTACAGAAATTGGAATTGTTTGTTCTCCTGTAATTTTGTTTGTGGCTTTCAAATATAAAACTGAAATGACGTCAAACAGACTCACATACTCACATTTGCTACGAACTCACTGAATCCCCAGTGGAATACTGGCTGCATGTTTAAACATCTGTTTTATTTTCTTTAGTTTTTAGTTTTTTTTACATTTACCGCAATCTCAGTTTCTCAAATATCTTTTTTTTTTTTTCTCCAAGCTTTAGTTTAGAGTTCAGGCTAAACATAAATATTTATACTAACCAACAACTGTATAATGTTATAATTGTAAATTCTAAAATGTATTACTTATCTAATAATAGGTTTAGGTAATCCTTTCCTTTAAAACAAAAAACATTTGATGCTCATGCCCCGCTTAGCAACCACTGATACAGTAACCTGCTCAGTTACTATTAAAGGTCATTTGGGAACACAGGAAATGAATCATTTCAGCAGATGTGTGTGTAACCATGGCACACATCCCTATAAGTTGGCAAAGCCTGATGATATTTTCTTTCAGTTGGATATGTACTATTCTCTTTGGGATTACCTGAAATGCTGTTTTATATAGTTTAGTCAGAATAAATTGCAGACTGTTATTACTAAGTCATGCTGGAGTTTAATACTGTTACACTTTTTATTAAGAGACTATGGAACAATATTTATGCAATGAAAGTTATATATATATATATATAGGTTGTTTTTTTTTCAAACACTAAAGATTTAAAGAAACAGATTTGTTCCACTGGCTTTTGCTAATGCTGTTTTATGACATACTTTAAACTTGAACATCTGTATTTTATATTATATTTCTGGGATATTGTGTAATCCAGCACATTGCTTAACAACAGAAACATCTTGTCAAACATTTAAGAATCGTTTTCTGTTTTTTTTTTAAATCTCTGCAGTGGTTTGGATAAATAATTAACCGCTCCACCTTTTGCATATCATTTTTCTTTACTTCACGATACACAGTAGATATTTCTGACTCCTTACTGCCAAGATAAATAATGTGTTTCCTCTATTAAACCATTTAATTGTTTTTTATTCCATACAATCGTATTTAGGGGTGTAACTAGGAATCACAGGACTCGATGCAACAAACAGAGAAGAGCCCCCCTTCTTGCTCTCTTGCAATACATCTGAGTGGGATGTGTGTGGTGGCTGAGTGGTTGCGTTGGTTGTCTGAATATGATTCTGCCTGGGGCTTGGCTGAGTGTGATTGTGTTGGTTGGCTGATTGTGATATAAATGTGTGTGGCTGGCTTAGTGTGATTGTATAAGGGGTTTGGCTGTGTGTGAGTGTGGAGTGATTGGTTCTGCTTGTTGTGACTTCCCTAAGCATAGCAATCCCACATATTGATGGTAACATGCTGGCTTCATTGCCAGCACTCTGGTGTCATTCCATCCCATACTTACTCAGTATGTGCCTGCTGGGAGAGTAATGCCAGAGGACCGCCTGTCACTCAATATATTAGATCTTGTGTATTTAAGTATTAAAGCACAGTTGCTCTTAAGCTCCATATAAAAAATCAGGTACTCAGTATTAACAGAATGAGGCAAGCAGGCAACTCTAAAGTCATACGCAACTTTAGTACCATGTTCCAGCATCCCTTGCCCAGAAGAAGGCTGCTCAGGCATACTTCTCAAACTCTGAGATTAACTCAGAGGATCCTGTTCTAGTTACGCACACTCAGGTTTCCCCCCAAGGCATTACTGGCAGAGAGCTATGCACAAGAACTGGCCACGAAGCAGGACATCCACAATTTTTAATCTTTAATCTTAAGAAAGGACCGGGTCCAGGACCAAAACATTGACCGTGTGCATTATAATGTAATTCACGGATTAAAATCCACAATATTAAAAAAACATTTTCCAGCAGACCTAGAGCTAGTTAAAGTAAATGTTCAGGTGATGACTGCTAGGTTTCACGCCTCTAAGGAGCACATTCATGGCCTATGCCATGATCAGAGCCGGTGCAAGGATTTTTGCCGCCCTAGGCAAAAGAAGGATTTGCCGCCCCTTCCCCCCCCCTCCCCCCGGAACATCGCAATGCCCCACCCATAGAACTAATGCCAGTGCTGCACACAGTGTGTGTTTACATTAAAAAGCCTGCAGGGACAAACTATA